AGGGTCTTCCAGTGTATTTGTTGTGTAATTCAATGTGTGTTTTAGATGTTGTGCGTATGTTATGGTTTAATGTGTGTTTTTGGTGCAGTATGTATTTGTAATGTGTTTTTTGGTGTACTGCATGTTTTTTTGAAGTATGAATTTTTGGTTGAGTGCGTGGTTCTTTTCGGGTGTTTATTTTGTTTTCTAATTATTGTGTAATTTAGTGTATGTTTTCGATGTAGTGCGTGTTTTAGTTTTCATTGTGTGTTTTTGGTGTAGTGTGTTCTGTTTCTAAGTGAGTGTTTACGGTGTGTAGTGCGTGTTTTTCGTCAGTGTGGTTTTGATGTACTGCGTGACTTTTTTTCCAGTAGGTGATTTCCAGTGTATTTGTTGTGTAATTCAATGTGTGTTTTAGATGTTGTGCGTATTTTAATGTTAATATGTGTTTTTGGTGAAGTATGTATTGTTTCCAATGTGTGTTTTTGATGTGGTACGTGTTATTTTTCAGTATGTGTTTTTGATGTATGCGTGGATTGTATTTCAGTATTTGTTTTCCAGTGTAGTTCTTGAGTAATTCAAAGCATTAAAAAATTGCACACTCCACCAAAAACACGCACTTCCAAAAAACACGCACTACACTAAATCACACATTGAATAAAATTCACTACACCGTCAAACACACACTTGAAATTCAGTGTATTTCTTGTGTAAAACAAAGACTACATAAAAAACGCACACTCAATTACAAAAGAAGTACACTCAATTTCCAGTGTATGTTTCACGGTGTATTGCATTTTATTCAATGTGTTTTTCGGTGTAGTGCGTGTTTTTTTGAAGTATGAGTTTTTGGTTTAATGCGTTGTTTTTTTTTGGGGTGTTTATTTTGTATTGTAATGATTGTGTAATTCGGTGTATATTTTCGATATAGTGCGTGTTTTATTTTTCATTGTGTGTTTTTGGTGTAGTGTATTTTGTTTCTAAGTGAGTGTTTACGGTGTGTAGTGCGTGTTTTTTGTCAATGTGGTTTTGATGTACTGTGTGATTTTTTTTCCAATGAGTGTTTTCCAGTATATTTGTTCTGTAATTCAATGTGTGTTTTAGAGGTTGTGCGTATTTTATTTTTAATATGTGTTTTTGGTGCACTATGTATTTTTCCAATGTGTGTTTTTGGTGTGGTACGTGTTTTTTTTCAGTATCTGTTTTTGATGTACTACGTGGATTTTCTTTCAGTATTTGTTTTCCAGTGTAGCTTTTGAATAATTCAAAGCAAAAAAAATACAGCACACTACACAAAAAACACGCACTTCAAAAAAAACACGCACTACACCAAAACACACATTGAATAAAATTCACTACACCGTGAAACACACACAGGATATTCAGTGTACTTCTTGTGTAAAACACAAACTACATAAAAAACGCAGGCTCAATTACAAAAGAAGTACACTCAATATCCAGTGTGTGTTTCACGGTGTAGTGCATTTTATTCAATGGGTTTATTGGTGTATTACGTGTTTTTTTGAAGTATGAATTTTTGGTTTAGTGCGTGGTTTTTTTTGTGTGTTTATTTTGTATTGTAATTATTGTGTAATTCAGTGTATGTTTTCGATGTAGTGCGTGTTTTATTTTTCATTGTGTGTTTTTGGTGTAGTGTGTTTTGTTTCTAAGAGAGTGTTTACAGTGTGTAGTGCGTGTTTTTTGTCTGTGTGATTTTGATGTACTGCGTGACTTTTTTTCCAGTAGGTGTTTTCCAGTATATTTGTCGTGTAATTCAGTGTGTGATTTAGATGTTGTGCGTATTTTAATTTTAATATGTGTTTTTGGTGCAGTATGTATTATTTCCAATGTGTGGTTTTGGTGTGGTACGTGTTTTTTTTCAGTATGTATTTTTGATGTACTGCGTGGATTTTCTTCCAGTATTCGTTTTCCAGTGTAGTTCTTGAGTAATTCAAAGCGAAAAAAAACCGCATACTTCACCACAAACACGCACTTCAAAAAAACACGCACTACACCAAAACACATTGAATAAAATTCACTACACCGTGAAACACACACTGGAAATTCAATGTACTTCTTGTGTAAACCACAGACTACGTAAAAAACGCACGCTCAATTACAAAAGAAGTACACTCAATTTTCATAGTGTGTTTCACGGTGTATTGCATTTTATTCAATGTGTTTTTTTGGTGTAGTGCGTGTTTTTTTGAAGTATGAGTTTTTGGTTCAGTGCGTGGTTTTTTTTCAGGTGTTTATTTTGTATTGTAATTATTGTGTAATTCAGTGTATGTTTTCGACGTAGTGCATGTTTTATTTCTCATTGTGTGTTTTTGGTGTCCTGTGCTTTGTTTCTAAGTGAGTGTTTTCCGTGTGTAGTGCACGTCTTTTGTTAGTGTGGTTTTGATGTACTGCGTGATTTTTTTTTCCAGTGAATGTTTTCCATGTATTTATTGTGTAATTTCAATGTGTGTTTTAGATGTTGTGCGTATTTTATTTTTTAATGTGTGTTTTTGGTGCAGTATGTATTTTTTCCAGGGGGGGGTTTTTCGTGTGTTGCATGTTTTTTTTAGTATGTGTTTTTGATGTACTACGTGGATTTTTTCCTGTATGTGTTTTCCAGTGTAGTTGTTGAGTAATTCAAAGCGAAAAAACCGCCCCCCCCCCCAAAAATACGCACTTCAAACACCCCACGCACTACACCAAAACACACATTGAATAAAATTCACTACACCGTGAAGCACACACTGGAAATTCAGTGTACTTCTTGTGTAAAACAAAGACTGCATAAAAAACGCACACTCAATTACAAAACAAGTACACTCAATTTCCAGTGTGTGTTTCACGGTGTAGTGCATTTTATTCAATGTGTTTTTTGGTTTAGTGCGTGTTTTTTTGAAGTATGAGTTTTTGTTTAGTGCATGGTTCTTTTTCGGGTGTTTATTTTGTATTGTAATTATTGTGCAAT